CTTCATGCCCTGGAAAGTTGGGTTTTCTTGTTTCCTCCAGCGTTTAGGTGCCTGAGGCCAGGCATCACTGCTTTTGCCTAGTTGGCAGAGAGTGGGCAACTCCCTCCCAGCATCTGCTGAGGGAGGAAGGAAGGGTCTCTTTAAGCTTGGAATAGTGGTTTTCAGAGTATCTCCAAATGAAAGCAAACTATTGAATTTGTTGCTCTTGTTAGACTGAAAGGTCCGCTGTAACCTATACAGTAAATACAGTTGCATATCTGCTGGCATCAGCACTCGTATTCCCTTTGGAACAATGTGTTGTCAGCTGTGATCAAGACGTGAGATCTTGGTCTGTAGCCCTGGACTGAACTGTCTAAATCAGTAGCTTGCAGGCCGTGGTCTGCAGATCCTCAGTTTTCCATGAAAGTCTTCCAAGAATGAAATAGGGTGTGAGAGGAGGGTGTCTCTTTGGGAATGGCTGGGGAAAATGGACCAAGTGAGACTTGCCTTTCTAAGCAAAGCAGCAGAAGACCAATTCCATGAAATGCTGCGGGGCATCGTGCTAAATATGCTGGTGATGAGCATGCATGAGATCCGACAGACCCAGCCCTAAAGGAGCTGCTATTTGGATCATTTTGTTTGCTTGGTTGGAATATTCTTTTTTTGAATAAGCAGCAATATATTCTCTGCCATCCTGGATGCATGCCAGTGAAAGTCCTAAACCTTTCTTGCTAGCATCTGTATATAATATAAAGGGTCATTTATAATCTCTGTAAGCCATGATGGGGCCTTTCGTCACGTTGTCTGAAGCCTGCTTGCATTCTGGAGACTGTTCTTTGCTGATTCCTGGCTTGCAAAGAGAAATCTTGGGCTGCTTTTGTCTGTCTGTCTTCTTTCTGTCATAGTCACTGTGCTATTATATTGACAGGGAGTTCGAAGCTATATATCCTAATGCATCTTATAATCAGCTATGTTCCTGTCTTTGTCTCAGCTGCTTCTATGCCACAGTAAATAGCCAAATACCTAGAAGTTGCATTTGTGGGCAAATTATGCTATTTATTGGAAGCCAAGAGTGTGTTGTTTTGCACCTTTCACTTCTGGGTGGGTACTTCTGTAACCAAACTCTCCCCTCTCTTGGTAAAGAGGGAAGTAGAGAAATCTGCGTTCATGATGGATTATGTGAGTATCTTTGGGGTCTGACCATTTTATTTTTTGCCCTTGTGGTCCACGCTGTGGTGGCTGTGCTTTAGAGAAGACTCTGAGACTGTTGAGGTGACAAGTGTTGTGAAACTCTATCACTGTCCTTGCCCTCTTGGAGCTCCTGCTGAGGAAGGTAGAAGGTTGTGCCTAGATTTGAGTGAAGGATCTTTTATTTTGTCATGGGCCATCAGTCCTTTTTAGCCTGGGAAATGCAGATGATGGCTTCAGGCAAGGAAAGCAATGAATGGAAAGCCTCAGGGAAGCTTCTTGCTTCCTGTAATGGTTGCTTCCTTTCATAACAGGTCCCTGAGCAGGTCATCTGAAGAAATGAATCTGGGAAAGTGTTGGGTTTCTCCCCTGACTGATGAGCAGCTTCTGTCCTGTGCACTGTAGTATGGGCACAGCCTTTACCTCCAACCAGCCTCCTAAGGCTCTGTGACTTGTAACAAGGCCTGTCCAGCACATCTAACTTCCAAGAAAGGCTCTTCCAAGGCAGAAATGACGACTGCCAAATTCTTTGGACTTGCGAGGGGATACGTGTACAGCTGCTTCCTAGGACCAGGTAGAGCAAAGGTGCAAGAGACTTACTCAGATGACAGCACTTTTGGACTCGTTTGGAAAGAAAAATCTGTGTGCATGTCAGTAGCACCCACTGAATGAACGCCCTGGCAAAACCAGCTTTGTAGGTAGCTTAAAATAATTAACATTTCTTGCTGCTTTTGACCCAGGCAGCCTGCACAGTGCCACCTGTTTAACTCCAGATCCACAAATGTAGTGCTGGACTTCCAAGCTGATTGAAAATAATCCTTGACGGAGCAAGGGGACATTAAATCTGGGTCTATGCAAGGGAAAGCTAAAGAGTAAAGGTTAGTTTCCAATTTCTTCTTAGGAGTTGCAACTCGGAGCTGCCGTTGTACGTTAACCAGAGCAGACAGGCTGCCAGGTTCCCTCTGGCAATTGGGGAGTCTGCCTCCAATGCCTGCCTTTCTCTTCTGCATTGTGCAGGGGTGTGCAGTGGTGTTCCTCTTTGTTCACCTTCCCACCTCATTTGCCTTCAGGAACATGAAGCTCTCTAGTTTCAGCATCAGATATGAAGGGTGTTGCTCAGAGTGCAGTTGAATTCTTTGTCTGACACAGAAGTGCTTTGTGTGTACCCAAGAAGCGGGACAGGTTGTCTCAGAAGCCATTCGAAATCAGTGCAATAATCAGTGTAGGATAATCTAGCTCCAGGAAACAGCACTTGCATCCTGATGATGCTGTGATGGGAGAAGGCCAGAGGGGGACACATACAAGTAATGTAGCTGTTAAAGCATAGCATGTGCATATAAATACTTGATTTATTTGGATTTCATTGATAAGCCAGAAAAATGGTCATAACATGAGGGGAGGCACTTGAGTCTGACATGTTCAGTAACTTTATTCTGAATTTGTTAGTATTCATGTCCCTTCATCCTCTGTTACATCTTGCCAGTGTGTCTACTGCTGTTTCATTCCTCTCCTATGGTGGGACCAATTCGTTTCTTCATTGCATGTTAATGAGAAGTTCTGTTTTTTGTAATTTTAGGACATATGCTTCTGCCATTATCCTGTCAGGTTCTGTATATGCGCAGTTTGTTTTGCTTGACACAAAATGCTTTTGCCTGGAGGCTTGTGTAGAAGTGCTGTCCTTCTGATGGCTGTCACTGTGCTAGAAACATATTTAAGGTACATTATACAGAGCTGGGGCTTCCCCAACCCCTCTTGTACTTGCCCTTTCTCCTGGCTGCTTTTCCTTCCATGCTCAACTGGCTGTTCCCATGGCATGAGGAGACCTTACCCAACAACACCCACCTGAACAAATCCTATGACTAAGGCTTGGAGAGAATGGCTGATTGCACTATATGCACATGTGAAATTAAAAAGAAAAATTTACTTAGAATTATCACACTTCCGGTCTTTAGCTCCTGTCTTTTTTTCTTCTGGTTTTTCTCCCTAATCTTTGTGCGAAGTTGTGTAGAACCTGTTAAAGGATCTGCTGTCATGTGATCTGAAGCTTCATTCATCTTTTCTTTCCCTCCTTTGGTTCGATGATGTAGATGTTAGTAGAGTTATTTGGGTACTGGGCTGTCTGATCCCTATATATGCACCACAGAGAACCACTTCTCTCAGATCTTTTGAGGATCTAAGGTCTCCTTACCAGCCTGGAGTCACCTGAGGGGTGACTGCAGTTCACACTTAGCATAGAACGGTTAGAGTTGGAAGGAACCTTAAAGATCAAATAGTTCCAGCCCCCTGCCCTGGCCAGGGACACCTCCCACTAGACCATGTTGCTCAAAGCCCCGTCTGGCCCGGCCTTCAACATCTGCGGGGATGAGGAATTGCAAGCAGGTTTACAGTGAGCAGGAACAGCGTCTGCAGAGAAAGCTGCATGGCTCAGCCTTGATGCAGGTGATGGTCTTGATGGCACTGGGCAGAAAGCCACCCTGTCTCTGGGTGCCCTGGTTTACCCAAAGGTTGGGTGAGCAGGCTGCTGGCCCCAGCTTGCCCATTGTGGTCTGGAGCACTCGGCTCAGCCGCTGGCAATTGTACCTCCTATTCATGGAAATGAGAGTTATCCAGAGAGCAGGGAGCATCCTGTGGAGATAAGAGGGGAATCCAAAAAGGAAACAAAATACATCAAATGTTCTAAATGGTGAATACTGGAAAAACTAAACTGCTATGGGGAAGGTGGATTAGGGAGGGAGAAGGGGATCTACAGGTGCCTGTTTCCACTGTGCAAGCGGTTTGATTTTTGGTAAGCAAAGCTGAGGAGCCACTGTGTACTTGAAGAAGGGATCAACTGCAGTGGGGGCTCTTGCTTTAAGATGTATGAGAAGCCAGGACTCTTCTGCATGTGCAGGGAATGCTTACACAAATGCTTTGTGTGTTTTGGAGCACAAGCTGGTGCCTCCACTTCCCATTAGTGACCCCGGTTCTGATCCCCAGTCAGTAGGAAAGTGGCTCTCAAACCAGTTAACTACACTAACGTACAAAAGCAAAAATATGAACCAGTGTTTGGCAAATACAAATGGTGCTTGCAAAGGGGAAAATGAAAGTATCCTTTTTCCCCTCTTCAAGCTTGACACTTTCAGAGAAGATGGAAAAAGGTTTGTGGGTCCTGATTCCCAGGGCTGACGCTGTGGTTCCTGTCTTCTCATACACCTTAGAGCGAGGAGTCTCTCTCACTCTTGGTTTCTTGTGAGACAGTGTAATGCACTAATCACTCCCTCGCCTGCGTTTTCTTTTGCCCATTTTTAGACTGTAACCTCACCAGGGCAGCAATATGACTTGTTCGGCACCCAACTTGTTCGAGCCCTGCTGACAATGAGCTGCTCCACACCAAAAAGCAGAATTTTCCAACTCGAATGTTGTTCAGAATGGCAGGAGGCTGGGGAATGATACCATAATGAGCAGGATGAAATTAAGACCAGTACAATGGGAACTGCCTATCAGGAGATTTGGAACACTTATTTTTTTTCTTTTTCTTTTTTTTTCTCTAAAGTCCTATTGTTTATGATAACTAACAGAACTAAATTATGAACTATAAAACTCTGGTCTCTGAGGACTAAGCAAGAGGCGTTACTGGATCTCTTGTGGTTCAGGTTGGCAGAAGCAGGGAATCTTTCTGCAGCTATTGGGAGGAGAGGGTGGGGTGAGAAATGAAGCCTGCGAGTTAGGCTTGCTATGGCTGGCAGAACAAACAACCCCACCCCCAGATATTTTGTCTGTTTTTACTGCAGGCTGATATATGTTGGTTCAACTTGCTCTCTTACTGGGGCTAACAGTGTCCTTTTTCCCTGCAGGCATTGGTGTCACTATACGGTTACACGGACAGTTTCCTGCCAAGTGCAGAATGGGTCAGAAACGGTGATCCAGCGAGTTTACCAGAGCTGCCGGTGGCCAGGACCTTGTGCCAACTTAGTGAGGTAAAAATCTTCAAGTCTCATGTTGCCCAAATTTTCCTGCACTTCTCATTCCATTGGTGAGATTTTAAGTACTGCATAGAGGGATGAGGTCAATGGGTCAATGCGATATCCTGCTTCATGGTGTAACTAAAGAATGCTGCAGAGTAATTACACGTGAAGGTAAGTGCAGTATGAAGAACAAGCTATGTGGAAGTTTAGCTTAGGTTGTAATGCCAGTTTGTACCTCTCCACACAGTAGGCTGCTGCTAGTCAGGTATGAAGCTAAATAAATCTCAAGTCCACCGTTGTGCAGTGTGAGCCAACAGGGCCAGCAGGGACACGGGACCAATGTCACCATGTGGCTTGTTGGTATCAAATCCTCACACTCGGGTCTCTCTTGATCACACACGCTGGAAAGCTTTGATCAAATTCCTTGCAGCTGGTGATGGATGAAGGTAACATGTGCTGTACCTTTCAGAGTGGAATTTCCTTACAGCACCTCTTATCCTGCATCTCGGTATCCTTGAGAAAGGATGAAAGCACCATGTCTCCTCTCCCCAGATGAGAAACAAAGCTTAGAGACAGTGACTTGTCAAAAACTTGCCCTGAGTCGTCTTTGCCTTTCAATCATATATAGCTTTGGCACCCACCTACGTTTATGGAAAAAACCCCCGTGTGAAACAGCTAGCCCTAGCTGCCACCTTTCAATATTCGAAGTGTCTTTGTATTGTTGAGCTTTGCCTTCTCTGAAAGACATTCTCAGAGCAGAATAGTGTTACCCACCCATCTGGGAATTGGTGGGGAAAAAAGCTATTGTGCTCTAAATTTACACCTAGCTTCTATAACAATTTCCCATGTAAACAAGGCCATAATTTAGCTCACAAAGCTTAGTCATTTTATTGTTAACAATTCACCCACAGGGCACTGATTAAGGTCCTCTTGTACTTGATAACCTAGCCAGAATGTGGTTGAACTACCCACTTAAATACCCAGAGATCCACCTTCCCAATCTCTTCTTGTGACTCTTCATCTGGAATTCACATTTTCCATGTGGCAGTTACCACACTTGGTTCTCCAGTTTCTACTTGGCCACTGGTCAGTCTAAGTTTTTTCACTTGTAATATATCTGCTTTGGTGTCTCTTTGGTCTTGTTTTATGCAAGGCTGTGGTTGAAACACTTAATATTTTATGCTGTCATGGCCAAACTTCTGTTGAAGCTTTTTAATTTCCCAGACTTTTTACACACATAATTGTCATTAGAAACTTGTGAGCTTTCACCTTGTCTCCTAAACTTGCCAAAAATCTTGCTTATTTTTCCTTGTTAACATAACTGTAGTTTCCTAAGTACCAAACAATTGATCATGTTACTAGTAAAAATCCTTTTTGTGGGCTCCTGCAGTTACTCATATACATTGATTTTTACATTGTTAACCCAGAGACTTTAGGAGCAGTGTCTGCTGCTGTGACACTGTTATTCATGGAACGTTTTCAGTTTCAAATGTAGTTTGGTTCATTTGCCTGACGAATCCAATTGTTTGGAGACAATGCAGAATGGCAACAGACTTCTCAATTTTTCTTTCTATGTGAAAATATCATGGAAAGAAGCTGGGGTTATTGATATTTAAGATCTCAGCTGGTGAAAGCTCAGCTGACAGGAGCTGCATTTCTGGGAGATTATCACCGTGAAGAAACCTACCAGAGAAGATGGAGGATGCTAATGCCCTGTTTCCTTTGCAAGTGGGAGGAAATGCAAGCAAAGCAAATAGCAGCCTTCTAAGGAAATGACTATGCTGTCCTCTAATCATGCATTGGATGACATTCTTGCATAAAGTGGAGAAAGACCCCACACCTCTCTTTCCCAAGGACCTCCAGAAAAGTTCTGACAAATGCTGGAGCCCACCCAGTTATTAACAAAGGTAAAGCAGGAGCAGCATGTGCTGGTCTGATTGTTTCCTGTACTGCCATTGTACAAAACGGAGATTCCCAAGAACAAGTAGGAATGAGGTTGAAGCTACTGTGGTCCTGAGAGTTGAGTGAGCTGTTGGATAAGTTATCCCCACCCCAGACATTTTTTTTTTTATAAGTGGTTGCTTGTTTTCAGCAGCATGTCTGACTTCTGGTAACAGAATGAAAAACAGCCACTGAAAAGGATGGATCTTGTGACACGTAGCTACTGTGGGCAATGTCTGGGAACCCCAAATCATGTTGTATCGTTGAGGTCTTATTTCCTGGGCCTACACAGCAGCTTATGGATGTTACATTGCCAGCGCCTAGGGGTGTGTGGATGACTGGCTTTCTCTTGTCTAAGTCAAGCTGAGGTTTTAATTTTATTCTTTTTAACACCATTTTTTCCCCTCTTGCACCAAAATGAATATTGCCTCTTTCAGAAACACCAGTCTTTCTCCTAATCCAGGGGAATCCCATATCCTGTTTTAAGATGACTATTGCCAAGGATAGCAATGAGAAAGACAGTCCCCAAAGTCACAAGGCAGTTGAGGTCCCCTTCTATTCAGTTCCTTCTAAGTTACACTTGTTTTTCTTATTTTTCTGCTAAGAAACTGGCTCTGAAGGGGCTTATACCAGTGCCCATGCTGTACAACTTCCATCAACAGGTCTCTGAAAATTCCTACACAAGATGAACAGAGCAGAAAAATCAACTCAGGTGTGCCCTGCTTTTTTTTTTTTGCTTGGGAACTGTCCTGGTTTTCTCTGGAATCTGTTTTTTCTTGTGCTGAGCGTGCTGTCCGCGGTGCAGGGTAAAGACAACCGCTCTGTGGTTAGGGGAAATGTTACCTCTTCTGTGTTTCAAACTAACTTCTCCCAAAGAGAGAATGATGGACGTGGTGTGGCAGAACTTGAGCCCGTGGGATTGCCCCTTTGCCACTGTGGCTCTTGCCAACAGCGAAGGACACCTAGCCATGTTTCATCTAATCTTGTATTGCAGGATTGAAGTCCAGAAACGCTGGAAGCCCTGGTACCTTGCAAGGTCAAGGGATTAATTTCTCAGGTAGACATCTTAAGTAAGAATATCTTCAGTAGATACCTTCAACAGGGAAAAGCAGTGTGACTGGTATCAAATCTGATTGTTTCTTGTCCCAATGCTTTGCAAAACACAGAGGGCTTATGCTATCTTCATGGAAGTGGAAGCAAAGAATTCCTTGTATCATTAAATGCCTTCTTTATGTCACTAGTCCTTGAGCACGTTCCTGTAATATGAAGGAGCTTCTCTATTTTTTGACTACGGTCCTTAATGATTGCCTGCTGGGTAGCTCTAACTTGACATGTCCAGCAAGAATGCTTCACATGGGCAATGCTTCATTCCCATCAAACATCATTGTTTCTGTTTCCTATTTACCTTCTCTGTACCAGCACCTCTGTCTTTTCAGGTTTTCTGGAAGTGTAGCTTCTGGTGATGTCAGGCTTACTGCAGGTCTGGTAGTACCTAGAAATGTTCATTCTCTCTCTATCTGTGTGGTTGTTCAGGTAATATAAGTATATCTGCTTTCCTTTTGCCAAAAAGACAAACTTAAAGATCTTCTGGTCTTCTCCCATTCTTCTCTAGTGAGATTTCTGGTGCCTGAGCCCGAAGCAGAGGTACAGCCAGATTCATATGGTGTTACACTTGACTGTAAGCAATGCAAAAATGTTAATAAGCTATTGGCATGATTTTGGCTTTATAGTATTTCTCCCAGCTGTGACTCGAAACAAACTGTTTTCATCTCCTTGTTTACAGGGAGTCAGCCATATCTGGGAGAGCTTTCATTCTGCCAGCACCCGTTATCAGGCTGCTCACTAGCAAAAGGGACGCCAGCCAAAAAAAAAAAGGCATCTCTCACCCTCGTGGTGACAGCTGAGAGGGGCTCTCTGTTAGAGAGACTCTGTCTACGAGCAGACATCAGTGTGGCCAGACGAGGATTTAATCCATTTCCTGTCTCCCATTCATTCGTGTTATGTTTCTTTCCCTTATTGCGCAAACTGCAACTCGGGGTCAAGCTTTTGACAGAAGAGGATCTGTGAGATCCCCAGCCTCACAGCTTCAGCCCTGTGATGTCCTTGCTGTCTGTTCACTTGCTCTCGGGAAGCTGGCAGCTGTACTTCTTTTGCAGGAGTGTCGTCATCTTGGCTGGGATGGGATGAGCTGCTCTGTTCTTGCCCTCCACCCCAGACTCTTTATTTAGCTTGGGTGCTGAGTTGCTTTGGAGTAGTCTTGGCTGGAGACTTTCCCTCAGCAGATCTATTCTTGAACTCTCTCCATTTGTGTAGTGAAGGCTTCAGCTTCTGCGCGCCATAGGATATGCCTTTGCTTTGTCACGCTACGAAGTGAACAGGCAACTTTCCAGCAGTCTGGCTGAAGCTCCTAGTGTACTTACAAAAATTGCATGCCATTTATCTGCCTGAAGGAAGGGATAAAGTCTCTCCCTTGGTGTTTCAATGGCAACTTAATCTCAAGGTCTTTGCTGCCTGTATGGTTGCACCCAGCTCTCAGTAAACCCCAGCATCTGAATTGTAACCCTTCTCCTGAGCAATCATTTTGCTGCAGCCGCTGCAGGCCAAGGCACCATCCTGTCATGCTCAGGATGCTAAACCCATTGAAGCCCAGAGAGAAGGGTGGTCTCACAGGCCAGGTGAGAATTTAAGACTTGCATTCAGTTGCTGGAGCTTTTGTGACTTCCTGTGCCTTAGGTCACATGATGCCACCTCACCTATGAGACAAGAACAGTACTACTTCTTTCTTACTGTTTTTCATGACTTTGAGAATAGGACAACTTCCTGCTATATGCTAATTAGCCAAAATCGCCCTGATTTTGATTAGAGTATTTGCATGTGATTGTCATGGTGGTCAGTATCTTGGGAGGTAAATGAATGTGAAGAGCCTGGCAGACCATGCACTCTTACAGTCTTCAGAAGACAAACGTTTTCTGCTTCAAACTGCTGTTGCTGTGAAAATCCCCCTCTCGGCTCTGGACCCACACTGCTTTAGATTGTGGCAGGATATTCTGATCATCTCCTCTTGTTTCATC